AATTTAAAAAACAGCTTAAGCAAAATAAAAAAAGACATGTTCCTATGGTTTTATGCAAGCTGGTCACACAAGAATAGCACCACTACCCAAAAGTTGCCATGAGCAGGAGAAAAAGAAAAAGGGATGTGGAAATTTTAACTGATATAATGTCAGAAATGGAAGCATTTCTGCTAAACGTCTTTCAAAGGGGATGGTGGTGCATTTATTCTCCTCTCCTTGGAACAATGACATGGAGGATGGCACATATGACCTCACCAAAAGGGAAGGATCAGGTTATAACCAGTAGTTTGTTGAGCAATAAGAAATGAGAGAAAGGCATCACGGGCAACATCCCACAGCAGCAGAGGACAGGGACAGTCTGCAGAAGGAGGGAATAAGTATCCAAGCAAAGTCTGAGCTCTAATGTCCTATTTCAAGAGGTTCTTCACTCTGCTTGAAATTAGTATAAAATTATGAAAATGAGACTGCAAACAGTGTAAGAAACTCCAGAGCAGTGTGGTACCCTGTTGCCCAGCTGTGAGCAAGACCTGTGCAGAGTCAGCTCTCAGGTGATGAGCAAAACCAGTCCAGCAGCTGTCCACCAGCTACTGTTTTATTCCTCAAAATCAAGAACACAGTACACTGAGAGAAAATGTCTATGCTCAATGATTGTAGGAGCCTATTTGTAGCCATAACACAAGAAACAAAGTATTTCTTTGGGACCCACTGATTTAGGCAGAAAAAGCGGACAAACATTTTGGTGCCCCGTGCTGCCAATGGCCTGACCCCAGTTAGTTGCAAGGAGGAGGTTCCTCATTTTTCACTTCTTACTATAAGCTTGGAAGACATAAATGAATACAAGCAAAACCTAAGTTGTAAAAATAAGAGAAGCCACATGGTAGATTTTGATCAAACCTCTTTCATCCACAATGTGAGGGAGAACAATTATCATTTCTGGATAGACAGCAGCTGAACTGCACACACAGACAGGTGCTCTTTCAAACAAACCCACCAATGTCACGTACACAAATGCCAAACATTTACCACGCAGATTTGATCCCACCTACTCAGTAAAAAACCCCAGTGTTAAAGTGAGGAGGGCAGCTCCCTCCATCCAGTCCAATGACTGAGAAAATTGCCAGGAATTTTCTTTCTGGTTTGCAGACAAGATTGTTCCTGCTATTTGGACAACACTGTGATGCAGGTTTAAACTTCCCTGTGCTTATTTACCTAACTACTGCAAGTTTTGCATGTAAACAGCATCCTCACATCTCTGCTTTCCTCTTCTCTGTTGTATTTTCTCCTCTTCGCTTGAAATCATCTCCTTGCATGTCACATCCCAGTCTTTTGCTGAGGAAATGATTAGGAGGTCACAAGAAGAAGAATGACTCAATATAGAAGTGGAAACAAGAGAAAACTTCAAGGAACAATCTGAGGAATAACAACATTGTTTCCATCACATATTCCTTGTAGCGTTAAAGAAGCGAGAGAGACAGAATACCAGGTGAATTGCTTCAAAACATAATGTCTTTCAACATACCCTATGAGATATTACCTGCTTCTGTAGAAAAATAAAAGGAAAATGATACAAATACCTCATAAATCATAGCTGAAATGCATATTTCAAAGATTCACGGGATTCTAGTACAAAGTAGGAAATGCTATAGTTTGCAATTTAACATTGTCTGATGGCACAGAGGAATTTCAGGCACAGGTTTTCACCTTGGGAAATGTAGGTATAAAAATTCAGTATTTTACATGTACCGAGGTAAAGCATGCTCCTGGACACAACGACATCGAAAATGCAAAATCTTAGCATCTGTGAAAGTACAAATATTGATGTGCATCACTAAACATATGTTGCTGACTAAAGCTATTATTAGCGACAACAGTCATTCTCTACTCTGGAAAATCCCAGTTGCCTTGGGCTTTGTCTGAGCAGAAAACCAGAGAAAAATCTGAATAAAACCTTGTGAGTTAGCCTCATGATGACAGGCTGAGCTGTAATACTCAGATAATAATAAAACCAAAATACAGGGCTAAATTCAGCCATGCTTACTTGATGCTAAATTGAGCAAATTGCATACCGCCTGCTGCGGAGGCAGTCCCAGAAGGCGTCTTCTTCTCCCAGATTGTCTTTGCAGGGTACAGATTATTTTGATCCATTCATCGCAGCTCCCTTTATGACTGACACCTCAGAACTGAACTGCAAACTCCAGATGCTGCAGTTTTTGGGAAGCTGGGGGCTCCTGCTGGGGTTGAACCTCACTCGTTTCCCATCACCCAGCACCAGCAGATCTCGTATCTGCCCCTTTCCCCTGCTCTCCCCTTCCACGTGCCCACAGCTGTGTGGGGCCACATCCTCTCCTCTCCTTGCCCCACCTGAGCTCTCCTAAAACCACAGCCACCTGTGGGGTTTCTGGGCCCCAAGCTCACCCCTCTATGTCATTCCCCTGAACTTCCAAGGAGGCAAATAATGATGTCTTCAAATGGGGAAGGAACCACCTGGTTCTCAGAGGTATTGAAGAAAGGGGTTACCTTTGCACAGGTCAGATAACAAGTGCCTGAGCCAGGAAGGTTTAAGCGGAGTTGTACTGCCAAAGTCAAGCTTTTAAACATCCTATTCCTCGTTCCAAAATTCACAAGATTAATTTTCCGTAAATATTTTTTTTCAGCATGGTCTTCCAGGTTAGAAGTAATTAGATTGTAACTTTCCAAGTTTTTTTCTTCAACCAACACGTCTAAAAGATTAATTAACTCCCTCCAAAAGTATGATTCCGACAATTAAATAACTCTAGAAGGTACAAGAGGAATGAAAAACTTGTATTTTGTGAGACATGAGAGCTGGCAATGCTGGCAGAGATTTTGAAAGGAAAGATTGTAAGATACACGTGACAATATTACTGCTGACTGCCGGGTGTGGAGAGTCGTAGCTAGAAAGGCGGCTTGAATGGGAGGAGTAGACGGGAAGGCAAGTGGATGTGAGAGCAGAGGCCAAAGGAACTGAATGTTTGAAAAAACTAGTGGATGAATCCATTTTAATTTTCAGCTGACACACGTGTTCTGCATTGAACTGTCCTGACTGCTCAAGGGAGCAGATGGGCATTCAGTTCTTCAGACCGAGGGAATTCAAACCTTTGAGGACTGCACAGGGAGAAAAAGCGATGAGGAAACCTAACAAGGGGTTCAGCAGAGACTGAATCAAGCTATGGAGGCCCTGCAGCCCTGACTGTCAAACACTAGAGGAATGTGGAAAATAAGAATATATTTCACAGTCAAAGCTGTTCTAAGCTCAGAACTAGGGAGGTATCAGCTGGAAAATTAGACCAACATATAAGTGTATGCATGTATGTCTGTTTATTTATCTAAATATGGTTGCAGCAGGAATTCCTGTCAGATGTTGAGTGAGGAGGTTCTGAATGTACACGTTCAGTCCTTATGACACACTGAAGTCAAGCAGAGGCATAGGAAGTCTTGGCAGGGAGTGCAGAGCTCCCAGGTATAATGTCTCACTGGCAAGGGAATCTCCCCTAGAAATGACAGAGGTAGGAAGAGAACAGATCTAAATCCTTGCAGCACAACAGCATAGCAGTATTTATGATTAATTATTAGGCGTTAAATGATTAGATTAGCCAGGTTCTGTTTATACAAGAGTTGCTTTTCTTGTTCATTCAGCTACCATCAGTTATAAACAAAATGCATCCCATAAAAGTGTTTCAGTTCCTTAACAGGCTAAGTGAATGGCCAACCTCACTGTAATTAATTAGGGATCTTTAATTGAACATTCATGGTCACCAGAGCAATGCAAACCTAAATCCCAGCACACTTATCTGATTCTGGTTTCATTAGAAAGGCATGTAAAAATTAGAAAGAATTTTCATTGAATCTATGAACCTTTGTGGTTTGGGCTCTATGGACACATATAAACATGGTGAAACTACACTTCCAAACCCAAAACACAAAGGGGTACTCTGTGGCTACAAACTCATGGAAACCAGGCAGAACTCATACTTAAATCTAGGTAATAGGAGGAAGGGCTTCTGAACTCTCTGCATTCACACGATTTATGTTTAGAAAGTGAAGGGAAATGAAGATCATCAAAGAAGGAAAAGAGGTTAATCAACACTTCATGTAACCCCAAAAATAAAATTAAAAAAGACTAATTTAGTGAATTCCTTTTGCATCAGCTTTAGAAAGCAGTAGGGTGTGCTCATGAGTCACCTTCTGAGCTTAGTTGCAAACAGCCTCCTGAATGTGTGAGTATAAACAAAGAGAAAATAAAATTCATTTTCCTACTTGCTGCAAACCATCCCACCCTGGTATGACTTTGTTCCAGCTCATTAAAACTGTGTTTCTAGAACTGTGCCCAACTCAATTAATTCATAGCCCTTTTTGCCAAAAGAGTTCATGCTCATGATTTATAGCTAACGCACAGCCACAGCGTGCGAACAGCGGGAACTCAGACCTGGAGTAAGGGCTGCAGGCAGCCCAAGGAGTGAATCTATCACATGCCTCGTGTGGAAAACACTTCCCACACCCAGCTAAAAGGAAACCTGTTCAATAGTCCTGGGCAAGAGACCACGGAGCCAGTGTGCCTTCACATACTGTCCCCTTTGGTGGGCTACCTGGGCTTTACAACCTGCTGCCCTACTATGTCTGGCACCTCAAATACAAGAATCCCAGAGAAATGCTAAGGAAGGAACCTCAAAGAAGTTTATTTTCAGAAAGGAGAAATCCTTGCTGGAAACAACACTCTTTTATCTTAATCTGGCAAGTAGTACCTATGTCTCATTGCATCTCTGAACACTGAAACTAGGAATAGCAAAACAAGCAGGGTGCCAATAAATAAATGCTTGTAAAGTGCACTGAAGCTGAAAAGCGTGGCATATTATTACTAGGAGATGACCAGCATTCAAACAATGTTTGGTGTCTCATAATTTCATCACTGAAAACAAATTTTTGGCTTAGTTAAAAGGCTGCTGAAGTTCTTCCACTGGTTTCATCAGACTTCAGATCAGACGTTAAACCAGCGTAAACTGGTGGATGGGACCAACAGCCAGAGCGAGCTCAGACAGCACGCGGAACTGGAGGGAGATTATAACCAATTAATTAGGTATGATTTATATAGTTTAATTTCTTCCACTTATTTGTTATCCTTTCAATATTTTATACCAATTAATTTCCAAATTGAATAATAAGCATAGATATGTGCCTGATGCTTTAACCTCTCTAGCAGGAGCAGTTTTTGCAGGGTTCCCCATCAGGGATTGATGCGCCAGTCTGGAGCTGCAGCTCCCTGCATGCCACTGTCACACTGACACGCACTATCAGATGGTGCTTTGGTGGATGCAGCTTCTCTGACCCTTTGATCTGGTAAATCTCTTCTCATCAGGCCTCTGATCCAGGGCACTGACTCCCCTGCTTCCCAATGTGAACCTTGCAGGCTTATCGTCTCCCCACTGGTCAGGCAATTGCCATGATCTTTAGTCTGATTTCTTGAAGGCACGTTCCAGCATCTTTTTCTTTTAAAGTCTCATGAGAACATAGTTAAGAAGAAATGATAGAGAGGGAGAGAGGAAAAAAGGGAGCTGATGCTATAAAAAAGCCACTGCTTATGCCATGACAAAATAACCCTCATTTCCCAAATGTATCATGCTCAGAAATGACAGTGCTTTGCACTCTAACGCCTTTTCAAATCACTCGAAATGCCTCTCACCCTGGGAATGAGACTTTCATTTCGGTGCAGTTTGACATAACCCTGGAGCAGGCCTCACCGAGGGAGGTACATACATATGTGTGTGTCTGTGTGTATGTATATAACAGGCACAAGGAGGAAACCTGCCCATAGTAGGTGAGATACACTTTCTGCAAATTCTTGCCTTTTCCTACAGGTTAGATCCTCACAACAGCGCAATTTAACGTTCTACAGTGAAAAGTATCTGGATACATGTCTAACCCACATTTCATGAGAAAACCCAACCAGAATATCCCTGCAGACACTGTTTAATATTTTTTAAGCATTCCAATTGTTGAGCAGTTGATGCAGTGGCATCATAACAGCTCTTATTTTGCAGCAGTTTCAGGGTCCAGGGGTCTCTGGCACAGCTTACAGCGTACGGGGATGTTTTCCTGCAGCTCTGTCTGCTGCCCCGTTCTTCCTTCCAAAGAGCTGACCGGAATAATCTGACATTTTCTTGGATCTTGGTCAGGATGCCAGTTGTTTGACCCAGAATGTATTCAAACTGTGCAGTGTAAAAACCTACACTGTAGTCTATTTCCCCAGCTACTTCTCAGAATACTTTCAACCACGGCAGAGATTCCCAATGCTCCTCTCTAAGTGTTTTCTCATCCACCTCTTTTCTCTTCCTCTCTGTTTTCCCCCCAGCACTGAAAGTAAATAATGGGGGGAAAGACTTCCTTGTCTGCCTGAACCCCAAGCAGCTGTAACTCAGCTGTCCTGGGATGCTTATGAATAATACAGGGTTTTTTTCCATGTCCTTCTGCTGGTGTGGGACCTCAACACCTCCTGATAGGGCTGTGCAAGGGAATTTAAATTCATCACCAGCTCCTTCACACGCCTGGTGTACCCTGGGGTGTGAAGGGTGCAGGATCTCATTCCTACAGAGATAGTGACAATCATGCAGGTACAGGAGGTTTCCCCTCTAGATGAGTCCCTTGGGACCTGGGTGAGTTCACTAGCCCTGAATGGGGTGTGGGCTCTGCTGTGCCCCAATGCCCTGATACACTCCTTGACTGCCAACAGGCTTTTATTAATATCAGCCCCCTCCAGTCTTGTTTGCCCGTCTGCAGTGGAGATGTCAGCTCCTCCCTTCCTCCCAGCTAAATCAATCAAGGAAAACTTGGTGTACAAATGCCCTCTCTCTCTTGACTATGGTGTGGAAGATGGCATGGCTCTGGGGGAGTGAGTGTTGGCAGAGGTCTTGACCGATGTGCGACACTTGCTGCCCTTATCAATTAGCTTGATGACGTCTTCCACGCTGGTGACTTCTTCCTCCCACAGCCCCACCACGTGGATCTGCTGTTTACCACCTCCAAGGACTCTCAGCTGCATCTTCCAGTTCAAGAGGTCAAACACTTCACTCCCATAAATCTCAAAGAAGGTCCCATTGCCTTGAAGCTCCAGTTTCTGGCAGCTGAGGTCCTGCAGCCCGTGGAAGACATCCTTGGCAACCAGGACATTACCTGTGCCCGGCACCACGCTGTATTCTGCAGAGGGGTTCAGCTTCAAGGTTGAAAATAAATGCGTTTTTAATCAGCTGCTATGGGTGGAAGGAACATATAAAGCTGCCATCACCTGAAAAGGCCTACTCGAGCTCCCAGGCTGGCGTGCAGCTGCTGTGACACATCGTGTCTAATTAGATCAGTCACGTTGTGTTAAGCTAATGCTGGTGACACCAGAATTTATAGCAGTGACACAAGCGCAGAGACTCAGGAGAGCCTTTTTGTCCTGCAGTAGCCACACAAAAATGCAGAAAACAACACATTGTTTTCAATTACCTTGAACATAAATTTTGAATTCTTTTAAAAGGCTTTGCATGCCTTGAAATCCTGCTTAAGAAAAAATGGGCTTAATAGAAAATGAATGAAAAATAGGGTTGTAATGTGAGTGCAGTGGGTACATCTGCATCCACAAGGAAGAATTTGATACCAATTTGATAACTGGAACAGCTGATGATATTTTTAATCCATTTTTGTAATGCTCTTCAGTCATCTGGATTCCTGAATAAAGAATTTCAAGGTTCTGGCTACAGGAAGATCTTTTTAACATCTTCGCTTACATAAGGTTTTTGGTTCATTTTGGCAGGTAGATTCAGATATTCAGTGATGAGGACTGTTATTTCTAAAAATACCCAAATGCCATAGTAGACCTCAGAAGAATGCTTGAAAAAACAGTGGTAAACTCACATAAGCTTGAAGTAAATAAAAACAATTCAGAACATTTATTTTAGAAGATACTTAATTATCTCAATTTGTTCTTGCCTTTTGAATGGTAACTTAAAATGATGAATTCAGGCAGTCTGAGATCACCAAAACTTAACAATAAGAAGAATCTTGAATGCCCTTATTTACCAACCCTCCTGTGGAGCCAAAACACCAATTAAGATGTGTTATAATTTCATGAAGGAGAGCAATTAATATTCACATTTTTTGCCTGGAGATGTAGGCACCATGACTGCTGTTGCTTTCAGCTACTTGTGCTCGACTAAACCCTCATGCCTTTGAATACACTTTAAATGTAATTAAAAATATTTTTTATGTGGGGAAATTACGTCACTGTTATAGAGAGATGTAGTGCTTGGGTCTCCATCCAAAAACACCAGTCTGGTGCAGGATGCAGGGTAGTGAAACGGCAGCAATTTGTTGGCAAGATTTTGGAGATAAAAGCCTGCCATGTACACTGTTAGATAAGTTTGAAGAAATACAGAGCACCGGGGATATAGGGTAGAGTAAAGCTGTGATTTTAAAGGCTTGCTCAGCTTTCCATGGCAACGTTGTCTCTCTTACTATGAGTCCTTGCTCAATTCTTCTGTCAGATGCAGAGGTCAAAACACCCCGGAGTAGGAGGCTGCAGCCGTATCCCATGAATGGGCCAGGGGGACCAAATGAAATCAATCCTGTGGCAAACTGCCTTTTCTGCTTAATGTTTGGAGACCTTTTAAGAATCTCAGATGGACATCAGAGTTCAGTCCAGCTTCTGCTTGAGAAATTTGACATTCGCTCTTGGATCGCTTAACAACTTTTATTCATCTGATGTTCTAGAGGATACATATGCTGTAACATGTGCTTGAGGATCTCTGCAATCGTACCAAGCTGTGTAAGCAGTTGCTCATCTTGGTTTTAATTAGTGATACCGTTGTAAGAGAAGAAGACTGGGTTTCATAAAAGTATTAAAATAGCCCCAAATAACTGTAACAGGAATCTAATCTGGAGAGTGTTCCTAGGCTTATTACAGCAGCGCTCTGAGAAACGTGGCTTTTTAATGGAGCCCAAATGATTAAGAGTTACCACCAAACTTCAGTTAGATCAAGATTAATTTTCAAATGCTTTTAGACCACAAAATTTCAGCCCAAATAAATACTGAAGAAAACCAGAGGACTTCCAAATGCAGTCAGTTGTGCATTCCCTGTGCAGAAAAGGTAATACAACCTCAGGGTGGGGCTGGGATCATTTTGGATCTATGATAAGATACTTAGGAAATAAGACAAGCACACTTCAAACACTCTGACCCAAAAAGGGGGCAAAGCTGCCAGCATTTCTCATGGTTCGACCATATGCTAAGTAAACAAAAAGATAAAATTGTTACATATTGGTTTATTTACAAAACCTGTAAATTGCCAAGAGTGTAACTTGCCAAAAAATAAACTCAAACACTATGCTATTGATCAGGCTCAAGCTTTTTACCTTTTTTAAAGAAGCATTCTGGATAACATAAATATCCAAATACGTGTTTTAAATATGAACCTCCCATGAGACAAAACATCCAATCAGCTTTTTTTATAGCATTGTTGCAAATTGACACCTAGCAGCTGTTGAGCTCATTAGATGGCACCGGGTTCTCTGCTTGCCTGGCACAGCCACCCAACGTCAATCTGATGTAGTTCTTGGTGAGCTCAGCCTACATCCAGCCCCTCTCCCACAGTAAGCACTCACCAATGGTCCTGTCTCACACAAAGCACTAAGTACTCTTTACTGAGAGCCCATCTGCTGAAATTTGAGGGTTTTTATAACAATAAGAACGTGCTTGGACCTATCGGCATGTTTGGGTTCAGATCGTTGGCTTCGACTTTCAGGTGATACATGTAATGATAATGGCTGACCTGTCATTAACCCACAGATTTAACATGTTAATGGGAAACGGAGCAGCCTGATTTTTGGAGGCTACAGATAATTGCAGACCTCAGTGAGTTCTGCTTCAGGTATGCGTATAAATTTATCACAGTGAGAATTAAAGCCAGGTACTCAAAACTAGAGCATACCCTTTCAAATGGCAATACTGTGCATCTGGTTTGGTCATATCTATAATGGATTAGTCCTTGTGAGAAAGCTCCTAGAACATGGGTGATGAAAGCCCTGCTTTTATAGGGACTTCAGCTGCCTCTGCACTGGAAAGAGGTGCCACGAGGAGAAATCTGAACAGGGGAGTTCTGCAGGGATTCTGACAGGGAAATACAGCGGGTAACTGACAAAGCAACTAGAAGGAATCATTTCAAATGCAATCATATTTCATTATTTCAATAAATTTAAAATAACCCAGTGTTTTCCTTCCTCTACTTTTCTGACACAATACCTTGTTGTGGTTTAAGACTTTAGGATCCTTAGTTGAGGTGTGGCTCCACTTATATCTGATTATTTGTCCTTGCATCTTTATAATATATTTGCATAAGGCTATTTCATAATTCTAATAAGACACCCAAGCCTGTGAATCCTATTGCCATAATTCACACCTGCTGCATTTAACAGCTCTCAGCCTTCAACCCTACTCTAACAGCACCATCTTGTGAAGTACTGCACCATAACTCACTCCCAGGAGTGTCTTCTGCTCCCTCTTCATGTTGGCATCTAATTGCTGAAGTAATCATGTGTGATTTTGTACGCAAGAGAACTAAAATTTATGCAAGTGCCTCTTTTATAAAGAATATGCTTTTAAAAAAGAGAAAAGACAGTACTTGGCTTGAGAGTACATGTTTTAAACTCTGACAAATATTAATGGTTTTGATGGCTATGCATTTACAAGCAGCTTTTATCATCTAACACAGATGGGGAAAATGCGAGATTAAACCAGCGCTATGATCAATTAACCAGCAATTTAAAAAAGAAGTGTAAAATCCTCTTCATAAAGTACAAGGGTGCCTGTATGCGCGTTACCTTAGAGAGGTGCTTAAGTCCTTGACAAATGTGGAATGTCACAGCCACAGCTCTAACACTGGTGAAAGGGAACTGCCTGCTCCCAGAGCCACCCTCTGACACCAGAGCGGTTTCCTGTGCCAACCCAAACCCATGGAGACACCAAGGCCCCCTTCCAGGTCTCCCAGCCAAGCACCGTCTTAAATCTGGACACAAAGGAAGAAGATGTTTTGATGTTAATTTCAACTGTTTTTCAGACCCCAAGTACTAAATTAACATGAACTTATTGCCTCCCAGCTCCAACTTCCCTGCAGTGTCCTGGAGGAGAGAAGCAGGTATCTGGACAGAAAAGGCTGAACCGTTTCTCTGGTAGGAGGTTGTTATCCTGTAATATATCAAAAAGTTTATGTTGGACTAGAATTGAAGAATTGTCAAAAGGAAATCTTGCTGCAGACCCAGATGCTGGGGTTCAATCAAGTTTCAGGTCCACAGGTATTTTTAGGGATGGTTATTTATTGACCAGCATTGAGGAGGCATCTAAATACCTTAAGTTAAAATCAGGACTCTGTTGTCCTGAATCGCATATAAATATTTCCAGAAAAAGACAATTTTCCTTCAGTGAGTTTTCTGCTGGGGCCATAGACAGCAATTACAGAGTGGAGAGGAAAGGAAAGGGAGAGGACAGTGTCTCCAGAGAGGGGAGGGGACCGGTCTTTTTCCAGCGTCTTTAAAGCTCCTTGTTTATCTACAAAGAAACCCTGAAACAAACTCTAACACATCCTGTGCAATAGCTTAGAACCTTGTAACTTCTTCAAAAATGCTTCAAATAATTTGCAAACATACATGAGATTTTTTGTTTGTACTTTTAAAAATGCTACAGTATTAAGGAAGTAAAGGCTTTGCAATCTTGCTATGAGTCATCAGAGAACAAACACAATGTGCAGCACTGAAGATACAATGCACGGTCTGTTAAAAGAAGATGCTTTACTATCACAGGATGTAAAAAAAAAAAAAACACAACCAAATCCCACATTTCTTCTGTTGCTTTTCCACTGCTACCAAGCTGTCAGCTCGCCCTATGTGCAAAAAGCTGTGGTCGCAACCCGCAGCATTAATACAGACAAACCAGTCCTTTCTGCCAAAAAACACAGCATTCAGATGAAACGTGATGAGGCAAATAACAGTTTGTATTTCACACTTCATGGGAGCTGTATGGATGCACAGATCTGCCCACACACAAACTCTTTGCAAGACCAAGATCCTGACTGCAATTTGTTAAAAAAAAAAAAAATAAATAAAGGCCTCACAAAAAGCCCCAAACAAACCACAAGCTTTGATAAGGGAAACAAGTGCTGTGCTCCAAGGAGGGAGCGCAGATGGGGGTCACCACACCGAGGGGCTGGAGGACTTGCATAACGCTGTGTAGAGAAGTGGGACCATTGCCAGCTCCATAGATTTCTGTTCAACTGTGCTTCTCTAAGCAATGCAAACAACTTTCATTCATCTTATGAAGTAATGAAAAACAAAGCAAAATAATTACTGGTGTTGTTATAAAAGAGGATAAATTCCAGCAAACTCGTTGAAAGTTCAGAATTACAATGAGTTACAAAAAAAAGGCAACCCCCCCCAAGTATATTCTTCTCTCACTGTTTTAATGAGGCACAGTCAATTTTTACTATTATGTATTTACTAGTCTCTTCCTGGCAGAAAGCAGTATTTAAAATTAATGTAACTAATCTGAAAATCAGAGAGTGAATACTGTTGATTCACACAACAGTTTAGTTAGGTCTAATTCATTTCATAGTTAGAAACATTCTGTTAATGTTTAATACGTGGAGAAGCTTTTAGTAACAAACTCTTTCTAATTGCTGAATCTTTCTGACTATCCTCATCTGGCTGAGTGTGTAAACAGACTTGTTCTTA